ATTTCTGAACAAACAAAGTGCTTTAATGTCAGTACAATCAATCATGTACATTCTCTGGGATGCAAAGGCAGGAATGAAGTTTGGTGCACTGTGCAGAACTGCCACCTCAGCGCTGTTTATGCCCCAATTTGGTAAGGAATATGAAGGATCCAGCTGCACCAAGCAGACCTGAATGAGTAATTATCAATGATTAAGCGTTCAAGTATCTGCTGAAACCAAAGACTATCCCCTAGAGCTATTCCTCCATTCCTTCACAACTTTTTCAAGAGAAATTAGAAGCCACTGGCTGTTGTGAGAGATTATTCCTACACTTGAGGCTTCTCTAGAAGTGTTTGACTCTTGGATATTTAGTTTTGAAACCAGCAATTTGCAGCTCCACATAAAACTGACTTGAGAATCTCTACCCATTTTTTAGTGTAACCACATCAGAAATTATCATCACAGTGAGCACTGATGATAATTGATACTCATGTCTGTAGATGTGGATACAGAATTCAAAATCTAACTGGACTTTGAGATTAAACTGCTTTTACTTTGTTGGGATGAATGGGTTTGCACCATACTTTAGCTGAAAAACCAAAGCTTAATTTTCTGACTTGTATCGCTGCAAGCATCATTCATAATCACTACAATATTTACTGTGAAAATGAAAACAAATTAGACAGTATAAGGATGCCTCCACTGATATCAACTGTACTCTTGGCCATCTCCCACAGTTGACTTATTTTTTAAAATGTGCTCATAAAATATTTCAATATTCGTGCATAGTTTGTGTCTCAAGTCACAAGACAGATTCATCACAATTCTTCTGGCATTTCAACTCTTTTGGATTGTAAATTGGGGGTAACAGCAGTTCAGATCCTATGAGCACTGGCTGAGCAATCATTATTAGTCATAAATTCAAAGCAAGATCAGAAACTTACATAAGTTTTCTGGTAATGCTGTTACTGAGTTACAACCTTGTCAATAACAATGAATATTTTATGTCAGAACACTTCTACAGAGTCTCAGAAATGTTATTTGCCTATAGCAGAGACATTTCAATCTTCAAACTAAGAATAAAACCACACGCCTACTGAGGCTGATGGCAAAACTCCAGATGGGTGCAGAATTGTGACCTGCCTACAAAAAAGGGAACTGCTTCCGATGTAACTCTGGGCTTGCAAATCTCATCCTGATAGTTTTGATTAAAGTTACTGGAGATTTAAGAATCCTCACTATTGTACAGCATGTAGATCATAATTTATTTTCTGAATATCAGTATGCAATACATTCAGTGACTGCAAAACAATATTCCAAAGGTGTTCCACAAAGATGGTCTCCAAGTCCACTGTGTCATATAATGGACCTCAGATTTTTGGATTTGCAAAACTCAACCTTAAAAACATTGACTGTGTTGGTAGGTTTCAGCTGATTGGTTATGGCAGAATCATTTTGAACAAGATAATGTTTTCAGCATGTATTTCCTTTCTATCCAAAATATCACAGAAAAAAATATTATGCAGGCAGGGACTGCAGAAACATAAATCATGGGAGCAACCATGAATACATGACCTATGAAACTCTCCCTGCAATAGAAATCCCAAGTAAATGCTTCTTAAATATGCAGAAATGGTGTCTTTGCTGTTATTCCCTCCTCAGATTTTAGCAACCCCACGGTCCTTGGAGGTGAAACAACTGACTTGTAGAGAGCTTCATTTGGACTATAGGAACCTAAGAAAATATCAGCATGCTCCCAATTTGAAAGCAACGTACCAGAGAACAAATCTAAAAACCCATGTGTAAAATTCTTGATGATATATTTGGCTGTATGAATCTGCTAGCCCTCATTTCTTCCTGCTACTCATTAATTAGTAAGAATATAAAGATATACGGTCTTACATATATTTCACAACAAATCTAACATCATCTAGCTGCACAATGTGATATAATGTAATCACAAGGTTAAGAGTTGGTTACCAGGCTAGCATCCTGCCTTTTCAATTAACAATATGGAGCCATATGCGCTTAAGAGATCACTTAAAGACAGCAAGACTGGACTTAGAAACTTCTACTTTGTTTATTAGCTTAACCATCTCCTAAAATCTGTAGTATCGATAACCCATCTGCTACGGTGTGAGAAAAATGAGGAGCCTTTTATACCATATTTAGCAATAAATACATATTTATAGTTATATTCAAGGCCAAAGATATAGTTAATGTCCACAAATACATAGAGTCTGTGGAATATAGTAATTTCAGATATATTCATCGTTTAAATCTTTGGAAACAAATTATTCCATGCTGCTGCCACCATTTGGTGGTGGGTTTTTTTGTTTTTAAGGAAAACATACAGCCATCATTTCCTTGGATTACCATTGGCTTTAGACTAATGCAGTCCCATTCATTTCATCTATATTGGCACATAACAGAAAAATTAGGATTTCTGCCTGCAAAAGAACACAGCCAGTGCTAGCCCATAAGTGACTTATGCCACTGCTCTTCGTCACAGAGCAGATAAAGTGAATAGGCAGCTCAGCAATCTAACTGACCTAGTAGTCTAGCAACTATGTGGCCCTGATACAACAGTTGTGTCAAATTTGAGACGCTGCCTACCTGTGAGGGCAGAGATCAGTTTGGAACTTAGCTAAACACTGTGTGGTGCTTGTTACCATGCCATGAAGAATCAGAAAGGGCTCCTATTACCAAAGTTAACTTTCATTTCTTCTCAGTAACAGCTACCTTTTTTCCCACAACTTCTCAAGTTAAAGTTTTCTTTGCATTGCATTCTCACCACATTTCCACCACGTTCTTTTAAAATGGTCATTATTTTATTCTGTACCTGCCTCAAGCAGGATGAAATTAATCAATTGCACATAAGTGACATGACATAGACTTGTGACCTTGCCCAGCATCCAATTGTTTCTAATTGATTAGCTCCAGACATAAGCATCTTAATAGCCAAAAACAACACCAGTGGAAGCTATGGTACAATATTAGGGTAGAATGACTGTGTGTGGTCCATATAGTATGGCCCCAAGCAACCAATTAAAGAATTAATGGTTACTGGATACCAAAAATGTTATGTTAAATAATATGAAGTATCTTTAATGTGCCTAAAATTGAGATAAAACACCTAAAATTTTGGAGCAGAAGGGCCTCCTACAAGATTGGGGTTAAGTGATAATGACTCAAATACACCAAATAAATTACGATATTTTAAAGGACAATCAAAGCCAAAAAAAAAATTACCTGTGAAATGTCCATAAAGCTACTCTCAATGGTGTACTGATTACTACTGGTTGTTTTTATTATAAAGAGACAAGTGAAGCTACGCCAAACCACTCATGGAGAAGAGGAAACTGCCACTACTGGTTCCAGTTCTACAGTAAGAAAAATATGAAAAGAAGAAAGGCAAGAAAAATATTGTACAAGAGAAAAATGGGATCTTCATAACCAAAAGGCCCAAACACAACGCTGACATTTCCCTTCTCTGAACGTCTATTCTCATCTTGAACAGAACTATTAAGTGAACTTTATATACTATTTTCTGAATGTTTTATAGGCCAGTTATTACAGCCCCCCACAACTGCTTGCACACAAAACTACAAGCTGAACAGGCACAGCAAATAAGTAACCTTTTTGTTCTTACATAAGAAAGATGAAAGCAAAAAGCAGAAGATTTCACTGTTGCCCCATGTGCTTGGACACATGCTGAGTGCACTGTGCTTTAGTGTACAACTGATACAAATCTAGTATTTCACTTTCACAGCAAGTCCTTTACTCAAGTAACCAGTGCACTTTCATGACTAGCTGCAATCATCAGACAAATACAGGAGGTGCTCATCAACAGGTAGCTTCCAAATGACTTGCAGCACAAACCACCCTCTGCAGTGGTGCTGAGGATGGGTTGAAGCCCAATTCCCACTACCTTAAGTCTCAATGTCCACTCTGCATCGATCAGAGCTTACGCAGCTGTCAAGTACAGTCTCCTCAGTTCTTCATACTCCTTTTGAATTTAATTTTGCCTGCTGTATTATCCTTCAATTCAAAAATCTTCATGTACATTTCTATAATGCCCAGCACACCAGGCTCCAGTTTAAAACCACCATTTCTCAGCACTGCAATAGTACGAACAGTATCCAACAGTATGACAGTAAACAGCATCACTGGTTTTATTTAAAACCAAGAGTATGATTTTTTTTATCAAGAAATACAACAATACATTAAAAAAATACTATTTATTTCAAAAAAGATCCATCGGTTTGTTTAGCTGTCCTTTCCTAAGGATTTCTGGATTTGGATGTATTTAGGACTGAAGAAGCCTCAAAACATTCCGTGCTGTGGGAACTATCAGTATGGAGAATGACATACTGTAACAACATCTCTGCTGCATGCCAGCACACCATATTTCTTGAAATACTCACTTCTTGGAACTGATTAGGCACATGTGTCAGGCAATAGATCAGTTGGCAGCTATGGTTTTCCTCCATGGTTCCTGTATTCATTGAATTCTTGAAGCAAAGACCCTTCTGGACCACCTTCTCCTCTGACACTGACTTCCAAGCGCTTTAGATATTTATAACCCGGTATTTATATAACCCTTGTCACAGTATCTTAACATTTATCAGGTGCTAAACATCCTGGGGGCAAAAAGCAGCTCTGGTGCCTAGAAAGGCCCATGGCATTATGTATATGGCAAGATGTGCCCACGGCAGGGGGGTTGGAACTAGATGATCTTAAGGTCCTTTCCAACCCTAACGATTCTATGATTCTATGTCCCTTTGGTCCCCATTCAGTAAAGTTAGGTACAATACTAATAGGAAAAGACTCATTTCACACATGGATGTCTTTGAAAGTCATTTCAATGAAACAAAAACCTAATTGGGAGCCTTTTATTTACAGTGCAGTTCCTTCAACAGTTTTCTCTTTAAAAAAAAAAAAAAATCAATTTAAAATGTGCAGCAGTGTGCCTCTGATAACGGATGAGGCACAACAACAGCAACAAGTTCATTACCTACCTGTAGGTGAGCATAGACAGCAATAGCAAGCCAAATGATCTCCCAGGAGAACCCTGTGGTTTTAGGGCTGGCCATCCTCATGCCTTCAGGCGCTGCTGAGAGAAATTGTTTCAAGTTACAAACAAAATCAAGAGGGCCCCGACAGAATTCCAATGACTAAAGCAAACTGGGCAAAGGCATGGAACCGGCCTTTGGAAGAAATGCAATGCAAACACCGGAGTTCTGGCCAGAGGAGCAGGCGCACAGTGCATGCCATGAGCACAGCCTGCAGGGTGAGGTAGTTCCAATTAGAACAGAAAGGGGGGAAATGAAAGGTTTGGGGAAGCTGGCCATAGTGGGTAACTCTGAGTATCTCCTGAACGCAGGAGAATTTATCACACTGCGAACTCGTCCCATCTTGATCTCCAGAAAGTAAAATCCAAGGAGCATAGGATTTATGAGTACTGTTCCAGCACTTTCACCCCCTCAGAGCTGAGAGCCCAGCCCTGGGACTTCAGCAGTCATTTGCACTGCCTTCGAAAACTTTGATCATAACAACTCAGAGACAAAGCGATCAGGGCAGAGAAAAAAAATAAAAATCCATCAATTTAGTGATTATCCCCATTACAGGGCCAGCACGGAACTGTCGGTCACTTTTACTAAAAACTTAGATTTATAATTGCCAGCAAGAAAACAATCTTGTAGTAATGCTGCTAATTCTGTTAATTCCTAGTCTCAATGCATCTTTTTGCCTCAGACTATTCATTACCACAGTGATCTCAAAATAGCACAAGTTCCATGCACCCCTAATACACAAGCACACAAACAGCCCTTCCTCCCCCCTCCCTGCCACCACCCCGGTATTTTGCAAAGCCCCGCAGTGAATGCAAATCTCTCCTTCAGAAAACAGTACCCCTTTCTAAAAGGTCACATATCCCAAAAGAAAACCATCTTTCCAAACGGTTCTTGCACCTGTCAACTAAACATAATTAAGATTCCTTATAGAAATAAGTGTTCTATTCCCACTCTCCAAAACATTTTAGAAGTTCTCCTCCCTCACAGAACCCTTAGCACTCTTGAATGCTTTTGTCATTCAAAAGTTTCAATCAACTTTGGCAATAAGAGAAGGAAGATTCCCCGCTTCAACCCCCACTTCCCCCAGCCAGGCATTGCCGAGAGCCGGGACTGGCACAACACACCAGTCTCCGGTGCTTCACAGGTACCGGTAGCTGGGCTCCCCAAGGTCTCCACACACAGCCCACACGACGGCTGCCCTAGGACGCCCCTCAGCCAAGCACCGCGATCGCTTCCGCTGAGCCGGGCCGGTGGAGCCTCCCGCGGGAGCCAGCTCTGGGAAAAGGGTCGGAAAGGCTGCTGCAGGGCTGCCGTGCCCCTTCATTGCCGCCGAGCTCACCCACCTGGTGCAGCACCCGGCTCGGCTCGGCGGCGACCGTGCAGCGGGGCTGGGACCCGGGGAGAGGCGGGGAGCGGGTCCGGGTCAGCCGGCGCCTCCTTCCCGCTCGCAGGGCAGGGGAAAGCCTTGCCTGTCACGGCACCGGGGATACAGCATCCCTCATCACGAGCGGCGGCCCCTCCCTCACGCCAGGCTCCAGCCCACCGCCGCACGTTAGCCAAGGTCCTACAGGCTGCTGGCAGCGGCCGCCCCCCGCCCGCCCGCCGCAGCCCGGCCCCGGCGAGAGGCGCCCGGGCGCCTCCACCTGCGGCGCGGAGCCGCGGTCCGGACCGGCGCCCGCTCCGCCGCCGCGGCTCGGCACCCCCCGCGCAGCCCCTGCCTCCCCGGCCAAAGCGGGCGGGCGGCCAAGGGGGCCCGGTCCCCCCTCCCCGGCTGCGGAGGCGCTGGCGGCGCTCTGGTGTCGGCGGCCGAGATCCCGGCAGCCCGGGACCAAGTGGTTCATCTTCCCCCGAGGGGCAAAAGCTACCGTGAAGTCAGCCCCAAATCCGATGCAAAGCAGCTTCCAAAACCGCAACCATCCTGTGTCTCATCTCCAAATAACTCTCACGATACAGCTGCAAATCTGCTCACACACCGAGGAGGTCTTTAATCGTGCTGCCCTCTACGATATTTTTAGGCTTCCTACTGTAAATCTGACGAGTATGTCTCATAAGACAGCTTTGCTCGCCTTCTGCCTCTGAGCGTCGGGCTGCTACACAGGAACGCTAAAATCCTCTACCTTCGCTCTACGCCTTCCACTGATGTCCCGAGCGTTCGCCGAGTCCGCTAAGAGCAGCGCGTAGGAAGAGGGCTGTTACCCCTGCCACTGCAGTTAAAAATACGCTCCAGTGAACTAAACATAACCGATGAAAAGTTTGTTCAAATATGTTGCGCTGGAAACTTTTCCGATGTGTTTAGGTTTCTCACCAGCACGGGGAAGCGCCTCCTCCATCGCCAGACGCAGAGTGCCCTCTGCTGAAACTCGCATGACGGGGACACGGGCCCGGGGGGGGGGGGGGTGGGGGGGTGCAGAACGGGCCCGGGCCGCCAAGCCCGGGCTGCAGCAGTGCCACGGCTTCCCGGAACGGCCCCCGGCTCCGCACAGACCCCGCACTGCCCCGCCGGCTTCCCTTCGACAGCGTGAGACGCACCGGTTGCTCTGTATGCGGGCTGACCCCGGGAGCTGGGGCAACCTCTTCCTTCAGTCTGCTGTCTGAAGTACTGTCAGGAGTACTGCGAAGGACTTGACCTTTGATTTTTTTCTAGTACTGTTCAGCTGAAAGCGTTGGTTTTCATCCATTTCAGTCATTACATTTACTTAAACAGCCACATAAGCCTTTAAATATGACTTCAGTTACACCCGAGATTTGTTATCTTCAAAAAATACATACCAGTGCAGTCAGCATATGCTTCAGACTTGATCATTGGTAATTTTAAAGACAGAATTCAGCCAGTAGATCAACTGGTGCAGAGCATCAATTTTCCCGTCTCAAAACTGTGGCTCATAATACTTCACAAACAAACCCAAAAGATGTTCACAACTGCAGGATGAAGCTGACCGTCAGGACCTGCCATCTGGGAATGTACATTGTTTGCACCACCCCTATTCAGAGGGTCATTTCTCTTACAGTTATCTACCCTTTAAGACTGAGGCTGTCTGCTGGGTCCCTGAAGCAAAAGCTGAACAGTGGCCTATTAATTTGTTTGCCAGATGGGAATATTTAGCCAAAAGTACTCTGGTTATGTTCCTAGCACTGGCATTAGCCACAGATACCATTGAAATGTTTGGCCCTGAGAATCTGAAAGTGTCTTCCAAATTTGAATGCTGGCCAGCATTTCTTTATTTTCCCCTTTTCAGTGCTACTCATCTCTGCATTCTCTGCTTTCTCCTCCCAGCTTACTGATACCATTCTTCAACACTGTTCCTGGTCATTTGCTTCACATCAGTTGGCTGTGTGCACCCCTAACCATAAAGGATAATCAAACATCACATACATGTAGAAATACCTGCTCACCTCCTGCATTAAATTTGAGCATAGAAAAAGAAGTTGTGTAACAGGAAGCAGCCTGGGTAAGCTCATATCAGATTCAGTGACTAAAGTGAGGCTGCTGCTTCCATACACGCTTAATGCCTTGTGCTATCTCAGTCCCAGATTACAGGTTCTATGTCTGAATTTATACAGCATGTAAGAGAACAGAGGTGTCTCCAAGCATTACTCTCCAAATGTCAGAAAAATTACAGAAAGCAACATTATAAAAGACCCAAGCACCAGTAAAGCAGCAATGGGCAATGTGTCTTGTCCAAGCTACTGAAATGACATAATGCTGTTTCTGTACAGCACAGTAAGTCCCATTCTCCCCCAGCACCCATGGTCTGCTTCTATTATACTGAAATCATTCTTCTTGTGAGGCAATAACAGTATTTGGAGCAAAAAACAGCCTCAGCACACAAACAGAAACCAGAAGGAGCTTTGGGCAGCTTTTAACAGGGCATTTTCCCATGTGAAGCTCATTCTCATGGAATGCCAATTTGTTGTCTTCTTTATCCAAATTATTTAGTTCCTTCACCTCAGCCTCACTCCACACCCCTGCCACTCCACTCTTCTATCTCAGAATTTCCAGTGAAGCTTTTAGATTTTGACTCCTGTTGGAGACCTCCATAACCCCTTCTGCTGAGCAAAGCAAAAACTGAATGAAACTTGGGTGTCCAGGAAAGATCTGTTTGAAAATGGCCACTTCAAAATTCCCAGCACCTGCAGCTCCAGGTCAGACATCAACACACATCCTAAAACAAACTTGTAGGTTCTGGATGCCAAATTTTCATCCCTGAAGAAATTCTGCAAAAACTAATTGACCATTCAAGATTAAAAGAAATCAGCCTTTTCTAAGGAAACACTTCCCTTCTGCTCACCCTGTCTTGTCTATATGGATTATAAACTCTTCAAGGCAGGAACTCATGTTCTTTGTCTGTTACACTGTGTTTGCACAACCCCTGGTCCAGTGTCAAGTCCTTTAGGCATTACATTCTTAGTAGATTTTACCACACACTCTTCTAATTCCCATTCATGCCACATTAGCTTGGCAGAGTTGGTGTAAGATTTTTGGATAGGAAACTGCAGTGTTGCTCTTTACACTCAAGAGTTCAGATATGTAATTCCTGTATTTGTCTCTTGTTATTAGCAATGCTTTTCTATTACATATATGCTTTTCTCTTGCTGCTCTCTAAAATATGCATCATTTAAATGACATTAAATATGACAGCTGTAAAGCCCTTACTGTTCATAAAATTGTGAAATATAGACATTTGCACTTATTATTTCATTGAACACATAATCATGATCTCATCCATCTGTACAGCTGGCATAGACTCTCATGAGGAAGCTGGTTGGAAATATGATGGTATTATCCTTTGTTTTACACTGACTTAAGGCCAGGTGTCTTCACTATTGAACACAATCATGAAATATTTTGTCATTTGTTGATTTACATTCAATTGCAACTTTCAACTTGCACTCAACAGTGCAGGCAGAAACAGCAGAGAAAAGAGATCCTGCAAGATATAGCTAAGGGCAAAATTGGAGAAAACTAAATCTCTGGTCTGGTAAACAAAACCCTCTGTTCAATCACATGATAACCACCAGATTTCACTCTCTCAGTGAACATTAATAGAAAACCTTCACATCTAAAAGAAAAAACATTTCTCCTGTCTTGAAATACATACTTCAGCAGACTCCACTTATATATAAATATTCTCTCAAAACAAGTTCAGCTAAGCAAATCTGATGATCATGAAGGCCACTCTTTCATCATAACAAAAGTCTGCACTACTCAGAAGAAAATATGTTTGGCTAAACTACAACTTTAAAATCCATTGAAACAGTACAGAACATTTGGCTCATAAATCAGGATTATGTCTAATGAATAGCAAAAGTGGAAGTATCCTGCCGAGGCCCCATGCAGAAACTGAATTTTGGGTTGAGGCCTCGAAGTTATCAGGAATAGAGCTGCACCTGATTGACTAATAAAAGGAAAATGTTAAATTTCCTGTAACTATAGAGTCATGAGAAGGCTGACATGGTATAATCAGTTCTTTGGCTGTGTATTGTATTTGTACAGAGCGCTTGTTTACCCTGAAATAACAAGCTCTCTGGGGTAGGAAGCAATCATGCACTGTCACACTTCACAAATATGTTATACCCTATAAGGAGTAAAGCCTCTATTAGTAGAAAGGTACAAAGTTCAGCTACAGCACTGTCTTTGATTTTTTGGTGTTATGGAACCCATTGCGTTCCACACTGATCCTTGCCCTGGGCTTTGGAAACAACTCCATCTCTATAGTAAGTAGAAAAAAATTCTTGTGGCTTAAAGAAAGAAAAACTACTTATGTGTAGACCTAAACACTGTAGAAGAAAACTACTGTCTTCCTCTCAATGTGTGTTTAAATGAATCTAGCATTAACCAATACAGTATATACAAATGGTCACTATTTCAAGTACTTGAATAAATATTTGTCCTTTCTTGTCTTTCAAATTCCTTTTTATCCTCAAGCAAAACAACTTGTGGCATATTTGCATATTTATGAGCCTGTACAGTAGTAGCAGATGCATTAACTTTCATTACTTTCCAGAACAAATACATCTAGAGTCAGATAGTACATACTTTTTGTTGTAGTTCAGTGTTCAGAGCCCTAATCAAAATGCTAGAACCAATGTTTTGGGAGACAATTATAATACCCTTCGTGGTTTTGCAGCTTATCTTTTCAAAAGGATTTAGGTGCTTATTGTGGTCATAAATAGAAAATATGAACTTGTATAGAGGAAGACTGAATGCAGATAAGGCAAGACAAATTCATTGCAGAAGTAAAATAGCTTAAGTTTAGTTACACATAGCTGTGTGTTAACAGATTTTTTTACCTAGTTTGCAAAAAACAAGGCAAAGTCCACTGAGGACTGTGGATGTGTCAGGTTTGAATTCCTGAACTTGTCTGCCATTTTCTGTTCATGCAACAGTGACAATGATCTGTTTTGCTCCATCTCTGGTGGCCCCTAATTTCACGATTGTTAAAATTAAGACGTTATTGAGTGCTATGTGAAAGAAGCAACACTTGGTGAATAAACAAGGACTCTGAGGAAAACAGTTATGCTGCAAGTCACAGCAACAAAGGTCAACAGGACAATTACTGCCCTCACTGTAATGGCTCACTGGGGAAAAGCAAGAAGAGTAGGGTAGGTTACCTGCATCTCGCAAGTTGAGTTGTGCCTGTCGTCACCACCTGAGTGTCTGAAGATGCACATCAATATGGAAACAGACAAGAACAACATTGGAATTAAAACATAATACTTCACTGGGAGGAATACTACTGACAAAGACGATGTGGTTATGAAATCAGAAGATGAACAATTAATGTAGGAAAATACAAAAAAATAGCACAACAAAAAAAAACAGAGGAATGAATAAGCATGAATAAGTTAAAACTTAAAAAAAAAGTCATCACCTTCCCAAAACCAAGTCATCAGGAAATAGCTTAAAAAAAGCAACATTGTGCATCAAATGTTTAGCAGTAAGAGGAACAGAATTTCCTTTTTTTCATATCCAATCTGTGTGTCAATACAGACAAAAATACAGCAAAATTTGTAACAAAATGGTCTCATACTCCAATAAGCTTGTGTGAGTGGAAACAAAGGAGCAAATAAAACATGAAGCCCAAACCAAGGATGCAATAATGTACTAACCTAACCAAGGCTAGAACCCCAGCTCTAGCTATACTTTACAGTTGAAAGTAAATGTGAGGACAAAAAAGTCTGAAATTAAAATTTGATTCTTCTGTTCTCCTCTACTTGCCATATTGGCATAGACTCATGCTTTTGGAATTGCACATTTACAGCCTTCATTAAAGACTATATTGTGAATCACTACCAAGGAACAGTATGGAACATTACCATCACCACAGCCTCGCTGCAGCCCAAGACCTCCAGATTGAGAGAGGTATCGAGTC